CACTTACCACTACTGTGGATTTTAGAAAGTGCGCAACGTGTTCAACATGCACACTTACCACTATGTGGATTTCAGAAAGTGCACAGAGCTTAGCGTGTGCACTTACCATAGCATGGATTAACATTTCCAGGCATCTGATCACAGATACTCGAAGGTACGTGGCCAAACGGGAGAGACAAGCTCAAATACGACCCTAAGGTGAGGGGAGCACTGCCTGAGACAGCATACACAAGAAGGTTCTCGCAAATGCCACCTATACTTCCCGCTCGATGCCTCAGCAAGAGGGGATATCCTGGAGCCCGGACATACAGGAATTTCTTGCAGTGTTGTGTCAGGGGCCTGATGATCAAGAAGGCTCCCGCAGAAGCCTCTGACCTGGCCGCATGATCCAGGAAGCATGAAGCCAGAACCAGGGCTATCATACCGGCTGGACATAATGTTGACGAGTGAGGTAACACTGCAAGTCAAGCACCTGGTTTCTGAATCCAGCAAAGGTGTGCTCAGACGACCTACCTTAGAAAGGACAGAAACACACAGGTCCTGGAAAACACTGCAAAGAATTCTCACAGAAGGATTATACACACACACACACAAATATATATATATAGATATATAGATATATATATATAATAGAATGGATCATACTCACCCACCATGGTTCCCGCGCCGGAACCCCGTTCCAGAGACGATTCCAGAGAAGCCTCTTGTCCGGACCATCAGTAAGGTGGTTGCTATGAAGCCATAGAACCAACCAAACATCATAGGTCCAGCATAGGAGACTGTAATGCAGGGAATTCCCATCTAACCTCGGTCAGGTGGAGAGATGGTGGTTACAGGGGAATTAGGAAGGAGAAGATAAGGCAGATGTAAGACCCCCGAAGGAAATGAGAAGATACTGAGGTATCCCTCTGATCCGGACAAAAGTGCTGACACGCTGTCTGTATCACATCCCTTAGGTCTTTTACCTTCCTTACTGTGACCAGCGATTCTTGCTACCCCTACCCGCGGGGGGGGGAGGAGCGCGAGCCGCGACACTAGCCATCTGTGCCCGTCTCTGATCCTCAAACCGAGACGGGCAAGGACTCCTGGGTTGTTCGGGCTCAGACCTGGACTTTTGTGAAGACCGCTGAGCACACCTTTGCCTCCCTGAACTTCTCGACCACCGTCTCAACGGAGGTACAAAAGATACGGAAGGCGAAACCGGCGCATCGAGGAGAAAGCCCCTCTCTTTCTTTCCCGATATCTGCTAGGTTTACCCACAGATGTCCCTTTGTCACTACCATAGCCGCCATGGACCTGTCAATAGCAAAGGCAGCCCGCTTAGTAGCACAGAGAGCGAGATCCATGGTGCGGTGCACTCAGCTACCTCATCAGGAGAAAGGCCCTCGCCTTTATCCAGGTCTTTCATCAGGTCAGCCTGATATGCTTGGAACATCACCATCGTGTAATGAAGCGACAGCCCGACCTGCTGCGTATGCCCTGGCATCCGAGCGAGATGTCAAGGAGGGAGTCTTAAAAGAGGACGTCTCACCCATTGAGAGATAGCTGGCCAGCCTCACCCTATAGGGGCATCTTCTCATAACCACTTTCGCGCATCGCCTTGATGTTGGCATAATTTGTATGCTGGAATCGATGCGTGAGCAAAAATGGCCTCTTCCATTCCTTCTCAATCTCTGTATGGAAAACAGGAAGAAAGGAAGGCTCACGGCCAGAAAAATAACGTTCATCGAGACACCTCGCAACATCACTTTCTTCACCCGCTTCACGGCAAATAAAGCCTCGCCGTGGCGTGATCCATAATTTTCAAAAGCTCATCATACGCAGGGAAGGAGGATTGGGAAGGCTCAGCCTCAGCTTTTTTGCCCTCCTCAGACATTTCCTGCTTTTTCTGGGCTGAACCCAGGCCGCTGGATCAGAAAATGTTAATGAAATAACATCATCCTCCAGTGGCTCACTCTCGTCCACAGCCGACGATCGTGAGAGGGAAAAACCCCTCTTCAAACTCATCGGCCAAATCCACCTGCGATCCCCACAAGCTCATTCTCCTCCGTGCATCAGCAGCGGCGGGTCCTGAATCGCAGGAAGCAGATGGCTGCCCCTCTTTCCTCAAAAAGAGAGACAAACGAGAGCGGAGCTTTTTTCCTCTGAAAAAACGCTCTCAGTGCACACCGATTGCCCCCTCGGAGACATCGCGTGCATGCTCTTCGCCCAAACAAACAACGTATTGATTGTGTGTGTCATCGGGTGTCAAATAGCGATGACACGGATGCACACATCTTCTAAACGCGCTTTTCTATGTAAATATGCGCTATATGGACATCTGTGAACATTGCGCCTCGCAGCTTTCTTCCATCATCAGGGCTGCGACTCTGCAGTTGGATACTAATGCGTGTCTCGTGTTTATAAGAGCAAAACATTCTGATTGGCTAGTCATGTTAGTTTGGTTGAGAGTGAAAGCTGTGCTCCTCTCATACCATTGGTAGGTGAACTCATGAACTCGAAAGTGATATCAATCAACAAGATTTGTTTTTTAAATGTAGGACTATTTTTTTTTCCCGTAGCCAAACGCTGCACGCCGGAGATCCGGCACGGTGCCTGGAGAACTTTAAGCCCTGGTACCATATTCCGTTCTGTTGCCGCTGAAGTTCCTTGAGTAAACTAGCATTCACCCGAAGCTTTGTTTTCATGTGTTTTGTTGAACATAACAGTTCCATTGAATGATAAATGTGTTTTAACAATGTCGTTGAACCGAATGTACGAAGGAAACACAGCATTAACAACAACCTTGAAATAAGAGCGCAAGTTTTATCTGATAATCAGATGCATGAAAAGTAGCGTTTGTTGCTATAGCAAACAGACATCGGTTGCGTTTTCTTTCAGAATCATTATCCGCCGATGGAGAGGAAAAGTTAAATAGCTATTATAGCATTTTATTTCTATGAGCGATCTCACGCTCATAGAACTTTGTCCACATTAGGCTTTCCATGGCACGTACTAAGGCATCTATTGCTGCAGCTAAGCTGAATAAAAAGCAGAATGAACTGATGAAACGTTAAGACAATAAACACAATAAGTAAATAAAATTTATGAATGATTCAGTGCTAATTGACATATCATTTATTACAGTACAGAAACTATAAAGTATATTTTCTACCTTATTCTGTGCAGAAAAATGTAATTAATTGTAGTATATAAAACAATCATAAAATTGCCATTAGGAAAAAAAATTATAGATTACAAATGATTGATTATTGTCCAGCAGTGTATTTGATTTCTTATAGCAAATTAAAAGTAAGAGATAAGAAAAGAATTCCTTGTAAAAAATAAAATAAAATAAATAATACATAGGCAACATACAGAAAATTATTTGTATTTGACATTTCTGTCACTTCTGAAATGATGGCTACACCCCCATACAGAAAATTATTTGTATTTGACATTTCTGTCACTTCTGAAATGA